TATTGAAAAATTTATTTTTAATTTATAATTAAAAATACACATCGCGTCAAAAATTCATACCTTCAATAGATCTTAACTTAAATTATTTATTTGAAATTTAAAGATGTGCATTTAAATTCTTTTTATTTTACGAAACACATATACCATTAATTTGCATTGTTTACCATTGTTTTATACGAGTAAATTTATTCCTTTGTTGTTCTACGAAACATATACAATTTTCATTGCATTTTATATTAAAGGGATCTAATTTTTTGTTGTTGTTCTATTTTAAGAAACAGTAGTTGCTCATGTGCATCGGCCCATCCGGAAATCGTTCTCTTCCCTCGCGCGAACGTGTTAATCCTCTAACGGAGTTCCTTTTTGCGTTATTCGAGCAACAGGTGACTCGTCTTCATGATTATCCGGAAGTTGAGTCAGTCTCCCTCTACGATCTCGAGCAAATTTGAAACTCGCTCGATTATGATTCGAACGTACCAACGTTGGTGGCCTCGTGACATGTTTTTGGCTCGGCATACACACACAAACACACATACACACACAGAGACAAAAAAAGATGATCTTTATTGTACCCTTTTTTCTTTTAATAAACCAGACGAGAAACGTGGAAGTAGGAAAGAAAAAATTATTAACACACATGGGGGTTCACTGATGTGCATCCATGAGTGTCCAGCCCTTCCTTCCTTTATCTCTTTTTTTTTTAATCCCTTTCTTAAGAATAACATTTCAAAACTAAAACTGCATATCTAAATTTTTCATTTTAATGATATAACTAAATTCAACGTGTAATTATTTTAATTTGTGATAAGTATAGCTTAAATCACTCAAGATGAAGTTATATCTGCACACGATTATTCTTATTTAATTTTATAAGATAATAATATATATTTTTTAACATTGTATATAGAACTAATAAATAATGTAAGTTTTATCAGCTTGACATAGCCAAGAATTGAACTAACAATAAGTTTACAATAGTATCTCATAACGTTTACACGAACCCAAATATTTATATATATATTTTTTTGTGTAATATATAGAACTTTAATTCTATAAAAATTATACTATTTATTGTTGTTAGATAAAACACATAACAGTATATACAACTTAACTTCTTTTTCTACGTTCTTTTTAAAAACATTTGAAAACTAAGACTAAACCACCTTAATACCAAATTTATATTTACCTACAAATCGTTCAATTCATAAAAACTACCAAGAGACATTTAATATACGAAATAAATACTCCCGTTCAAAATCATTCATCCATAAATAAAAATCCTATTACACACACACACACACAGAGACACAGAGACACGCGCGATTAATAAAAGTTAAATTATTACGCGTCCCCATAGATTAACACCATCCCAACTATAAACATCTACAAAAATAATCCCCCTGAAAAAAAGACCCCAATAACGCAGCACAGTAACAACAAAAAATCTCCGACTAAATCCTTTTGGAATAAAATGAAAGAGAGAAAGAAAGAGAGAGAAAGAGAAAAAGGGAAAGAAAGCAAGAGAGAAAACATAATCCTTAAAGGAAGATTAGGAATAATTCAGGTGAGGTGCTGCCACCTGCGACCTGAGTAAACTCCGCAGGTGAAAGAGAAGTAGTAGAAGAAGAAGAAGAAGAATAAGAATAAGAAGAACAGACGAAGAAGTAAAAGGAGTAAGAGGAGGATATAGACGAAGGAAAGAACAGGTCCCTTTCGAAGAGGGTTGCCAGTTATATTCCTCCCACCTTTTGTCTTGCTCGAGGCAAAAGCAACCGAATGGTAGTGGTAGAAGTATTAGTGATGTTGGCAATGCAACTTTGAGAGGGAAGGAAGGAAGGAAGAAGGGGGAAGGAAGGGAGCGAAGGGGACAGAAAGAGGGACTGACGGACGGGGCTTTGGGGATCAGGGGCTTCTCGGAGGGGGGACGCTTTGTGGTGAAGAGACGCGCAGGCGCGCAGGCCCGCGGGGTCCTTTGCCCCAGTCGTGCGGTCAGCTAGTCGAGAAAGACCCAACGTTCGCTTCGATTCGTTAAGAAGGAAAAGGCCGCGGAATCGTCCTCACCGGAATCGGCCGGTGCCGTGTGAAAAATAACATCTCTCTTTCTCTTAATCTTTCTTTCTTTTTCTATCTTTTTAATTATTCTTTTTCTATTTTTCTCTCATTTTTCTATAATTTTATCTTTAGATTTTATTTTAATACAATTTATTTTTTGTTGTTGTTGGATACGCTCGTTTGTTTATTTTCTTTTTTTTCCTTGGGGTATATTTTTATCGTACCGTTTTTAATAAATAGATTTAAAAGAAAAACAATAAAAGGCGCGAGTGTGCAATAACGAATGATCGATAATCCTTAAAGAGGATTTGAAAAAGGGAAGGGGATCATCTATATATCTATCAATCTATCGTGCAAACCGAGGATCAAAAATTGTGCTTGTCAGTGTATTCAGTGCCATGGGGATCTAAGAACGACGCCGAGGGTGAGTTTTTTCTTTTTCTTTTTTTTTCTCTTCTATAACGATCGATCTATTCTATGTTCGTTAAATACTATTATTATATTATATCTGTTGTTGATGATGATTTCCGTTGCTAGGTAAGATATATTCATAATATGCTCAGTGAATTAGTGTTATGGCGGGTAAATAAGAGATAATATTATGAAATGATACTTGATTGAATTTTATTTGATTATTTCTTTTCGATGTGGTTGAATTTTTACGTAAAACACGAATGACAAATGATAGACGTGTTTCCGAGAATACAACTGATGATAGAAATGAAATTCATTCTTTTTTAATAAATTGCAAACAATTGTTTGATTTTTTTATTGATTTTTAATCGATTTCTTTTTTGTTGTCAATTCAATTTCCTACATGATCATCAAATATTTATTATTTTTAGTATAATTTAAAACACACAAAATATATTAATTTATTATATTAAATTTTATTTAAAAAAATTATTATTTTCGCGAACAATCTTATCTAATAATTGTATATTTTGAAACACGACTTTAAACATAATATTAGATTATCCTTGGTATTTTTCATAATGTAATGTTTTATTCGTCTTAATTAATATTTTACGCGTCTATCCAATTATTGCACATTTTTTTGAACAGTTTAATCATTTTTCCAGCTAATGTTTCAATTATATTTTCTTTTCACAAATTTAATTTTTTGTTTAATGTAAAAGTTGAAACTGTTTTTTTATTATAAAATTACATTTGCAGGGGTTGGATATGATTTTTTACAGGGATTGAAGTTAATAAAAAATCTTTCGTTAATTTTAAATTTGTTTCATAAATAATTAGGAAAAAAGGCACAGTATAGAATTTAAAAAAAAATATCTTCAAGAGTTTTCTTCTAATTTATGGGAGGGTCTGGTTAATGTCTGACCCAGAAAATCAGTCCCAAGTTTTGGTAGTAATATGATAAGTAACACGTTTCTTCCAATATTTTCCTTTACTATTATTTTTCAAGATTTTAGAAGTTTTTCTTTTGTATTTAATTTTCTTTCGAACCAATTTCCAAAAAATAGAATATTTTTCTGACACTGAAAAGTCCCAGAAAGTTGTTTTACTAGGACCCTCATTTTTAACATTTTTTACATATGTTTTGCACATGTGTAACCATTATCTATATTAAATCGAAACGTTAGCAATTATTATCAATATTAAATAAAGATTTAAACAGTAATTTACATTTAGAATATTTACAAAATAAAATGCAAAAAATATTAATATTGTTATGCTATATTTTTATTTATAATAAATACCAAAAACCTATAAATATAAATATATTTACAACAGTATTAACGTCAGATGAAAATACTCAGATAAATTAAATTTCTATAGGTGCTTTTAATGAATAAATTAATTATTATTTTTCTTAATTTTTTCATCGCAATGAGAGGGAGATTTTTAATTGTTTAATAATAATAATAATAATAAAGGAATAGAAGAAAGAGAAGGAATACTTTTAAGAACACTGACCAGTGATTTGAATGCTCTGCAGAAAAACTATATCTAACTGATTCATAAGTAGTGCAACTTTTTGCCTTGTGAGCAACATATTCGCGTTAAATTACAAAGCGATACAATCTTACATTTCTAGGATAGTTAACGAGTCTAGAATATAATCGAGATTGAGAAAAATCGATGATATCTTTCAGACGAGTTTCCGTCGTGGGTGCCTTTGCCTAACACCTAACACCATATGGAAGAAATAACGTTGCGCAACGAATGTGACAAGTCTTGATTTTTATCCTACGTCAGCGTTTCTATTTTACAATTTTTCTTTTTTTTTTCGTTTAATCAACAAATTAAATTATTTTGTATCAATCATTTTTTAGCTTTGTTATCGAGTTTAATATAACATTTAATTTGTACAAACAACACTTAATATATAAAGAATGCAACTATTCTTTTAAAATATCCATTCTTTTTTCTTTACTTGTGTATTTTTTTTTGTTTGTTTTTTTTAATAAAATTCTAAAATAAATAATTTGTTAACAGTAAACTTAAAAAGATACAATTGTTTGGAATAGTATTCACTGACGATTTAATAAAATTATGTTTACTCTCGTATTGATATTTATAAACGTAAATAGAATAACTGAAACGTTTTAGTAAAATTTTCACGACAAAAAAAAGAAAAAGAAAAGAAAAATTTGTTAGGTGTAATAAAATACAAGAAAGACATAATAGACATATATATGATCGGTTAGAATATTTGAAATTGTGATTCCAAGCGTGTCCGGGAAGGAAGGCCGAAAGGGAACTAACGTAACTTCTTAGAGTTTGAATTCTCTTGGGGTAAAAGCAGCAAGGAGAGAAAACGTTTCTTTTACGTAGTAGAAAATACATGCATATATGTGGGCGAATGAATTCATGGTAGAATTTTAAAAGTCTTTTAAGTATCCACTGACTTTAAGTCTCCGCAACAAGCTCCAACAACCCAACATATATTCTTTTTATATTTTTCAAAAAGAGAATAAACATCGGGATGTAAATCACGTCGTTGTATTTATTAACGTATGGCGTATATAATGTCCCTTTTTAAGTACGGTTTTGTTTTAAAAAGCAAACAATAAAAAGATAAAAAATAAAAAAACTAAAAACAAAATAAAAAAAATAAAAACTTGAAAAGTCTACATATTTTTTCTTCTTCGTATTTATAATGAAATAATTAATTAAATATATCGTAAAAATAAATATGAGATAATTAATAATTAAAAAAAAAAAGAAAATAATTTTTAAGTATATATCAAAATTGTTAATAAAAATTAATACGAGAGATCTCCTATATAAAATATAATATATTTAAACATCGTGTGTTTAAACAGGATGAAACTCGAATGGCACAAAATCGTGATTCGTTGTAATCGAAAGAGATCTCTCTCTCTCTCTCTCTCTCTCTCTCTCTCTCACCTCTTTCTCTTTCTCACTTCGTATTACGAAGCAAGCCAATCGTTTTCATGCGCTTTTACATTTGAGGTCTCGCAGAAGTGGATAGGAATCGAAATAAGAGTGTATTAGTAGCACTTGACACGAACGCTTAGAGATTGTCGTGTAGAAGCTTGCAACGGGCCACATTGCCTCTCCTCCTCGTTTGCATGTGTATTTATCTGTGTTTGTGCAATCACCTGTGCACGTGTGTGTGTGTTTGTGTGTATAACCACCATCGCCGCCGCCACCGCCGCCGCCGTCGTGAAATGCAGTCGAACCGGCTATAGATGCATGCACGCATCGTGGGGCACCAAGAACTTTGTGGGTCCCCATTGCCACGAGACACATAACTTGTAAACAATCTTTAAAGATCAAGAAAATGAACATAATATATTCCGAGATCAAGATTATTATCATTTCTAATTGGATATTTGTTGTATGTTATCTTATTTTTTTTATTCAATATATTTTTCATCATTTTATTATTTTCATTTTCAATGAAAATCTCGATAATATTGAAATAGGATTTTAAATGAGTGTCCGTTTATTTGAACGTAAGAAATATTAATCGAATTTATGATTGCAAATATTTCGAATTCCCGTTAATAAACTTTCACTCATTGAAATTCGTCTAACGTATCCTGACGTTTTATTATGTTTTCCTTTTTTTTTTTTCTTTTTTATGTAAGAAGTTTGAAATGTAAATTTCAAATCATTTTATTATTCTAACGAACGCGAAATATATAATATTAATCGCTAGATGAAATTTTGTTTGTCGGGACCGTTTGATCAAACATTATTTCGTGTTCCTGTAAAACTTTCACCATTTAAAATTCGTCTAACACACCTCTGACCGAGTAATCGTTGAATTACCTCGTTGCCTTCAAGGGACCAGATCGAGAAGGAGGCCTCGCTAAATACCTTATTACTTTTGAATTAACATATCGGTACCAACATAACAGGACTTTTTCCTTGCTCACGGCCACGAGCTTGTCAGCACTCTCTTCCGTACGGATATCGACTTCAAGAAAAAAGAAAGAGAGAGAGAGAGAGAGAGAAAAAGAAAGAGACAATTATTTGGGTCATTCGTCGTGCCTTTCTCTCGTATTTCGTCGATATTTCTTTCAACGATATTTCTCTAACGTAACAACGATTAATCACTAATCGTTGAAGACAAAAAATACATAAATTAATAATTACAATTTTAGACTGATTTCAAAAATTTAAATGTCATTTATATTACTGATATTTAACACTAAACCTATCACACCGCATTCTGTAATTTGTACACAAAAAATCCTCTCAAAACACCCCATAAAATGTATATTATTCATTTCTAAATAAAAGAAAATATATTGTTCACCATTCAATTAGCTAAAATCTTATTCAATATGAAGTATACACGAAAGGTCGATAGGAATTACTGTTAAAAGATTCTTATTTCTTTAAATGATATTTCTTTAACATGATAACAACAAAATATAAAGGAATAAATCACAAATATATTATTTTATCTTACACTCTTAATCTTAATAATTATCTAAATCATTCACATATTCGTGATATTTAAAGGATACTTTTCTCTTTCTCTATTTCTTTTTATTTTGATCATTCTCTTTTACGATGATCCACAGAGTTGGTCACGCGTGTGCACAAATGTGGTCACACAGGTGTCTCCTTTCGCCTCGATCTTAAAACATAAAAAGTGGGAGAAAGAGATAATATCAGTAGGATCGAGATCGATCGATTCATTCTCTTCTGACTCTCCCGGGATTTCTAAGCTGTTGAAAAACCAGTTTTAATCTCTCTCTCTCTCTCTCTCTCTCTCTCTCTCTCTCTCTCTTTTTCTCTCTTTTTCTGTTTCTTTCTATCTTAGCGGAGTGATATAAATGTCCACGAGGAGTAGAGGAGATAGGGAATACCGTAAAATGCGAGATTCGCTTCTTACGCGTCTCCATCAACGGTAAGCAGCAACAGCAGCAGCAACAGCAACAGCTTTCATTTTAGTTTCTACAAGCAAGACCAACCACC